ATATATTATTTTATGTAAATGCATAATGTATCAATCAAATAAATATAATATATATCAACAAATCAATGATTAACATCGATTATGATTGTATTACCCAAAATGGAACTGCTTTCCAACAATACTCATTGGCAATCGATCATTAATATCCTAACCAATTATTCTTTAGTATAATTATATTCAAATATTAACTATACACGTTAATAATTGATTGCAAACCACTTCAATTGGTAATCAATTATCAACACCCCAACCAATTAATATTGATCATGATTACAAACGATTACAAACTATTCTCATTGAAAATTGATTGCAAATCATGTACATTGGTAATTGAGCATCAACAACCCACCGATTAGCAACGATCGTGATTGCAATCGATTGCAATCAATTTTTGCTAGTAATCGATTAGCTACCTTATACATTGGCAATCGATTATCAACACCCTCACCGATTAGTATCGATCATGATTGCAATTGATTGTGAACGGAATTCATTAACAATCAATTGCTGACAATTTCCATTGGCAATTGATCATTAACACACCATCATTTTCTATTGCTAGCGGTTACAATCAATTGCTAACGATGTTCTTCGATGATTTTTGAATGCAATCGATTATCAGCGATTATAATCGATTTTAATCGCTGACAATCGATTATAATCTCTACCGATGGTGAATGATGGGGATGTTGATAATCAATTGCCAATGGGCATGATTATAAATCGATTGCCAACGGGTATAGAAATTTCCTGATGATAGCAAAGTTATTACAAAAATTTTTTATAATTAATTTTATATTTTAATTATAAAAATTTTTTTAATAACTTTGTTATTAGAAAAAATAAAAAGAAATAAAAAGAAAAGAAGATTTTTGACTTAAATATATAATTAAAATATTATTATAATTAATTTTATGTGACTATACTTCTTATTTATATATTTATTATATTAAATTAGTAATAATATATAAGTTTATAATTCATATATTATCAATAATTATATAATATTATTAATAATTATTAATAAATAATTCCAGAAGTATTAAAAAGTATATTATAGTAAAATAAATTAGAAATTTTATGTAAAATTTTGTATAAAAAAGTTCTTATTTTTAATAATAAAAATTATTAATTGAATAATTAATCAATTGATTAACAAGTTATAGTAATTAACTTAATTAATAACTTAATAATAATAGATAAATAAACAGATTAACAATATAATATAATTATATTAATTATTGTATTACTAAATAATAATTATAATTCACATATATTTTATTTTATATATTATTTTTTTAATAATTAATTATATAATTATTGATTTTTTTATAAAAAAATATTATTTTTATCTTCAAAAAAAATTATTATTCATTTAAAATAATATTAATAATTATTTTTACTATTTTTTGAATATTTGTTACTTAATATATAATTTATAATTATCTGAAAAGAAATTATTTTTTTCACTTTCTTAGTTCTTTATCTTTAACTAGATCTAAAAATAAGAGAAGTTATATATTATATTTTTTTTCTTTTCTTTAAAAATAGACTTTATATTAAAAATAATAAAGATATTATATTATATATATAATTAAAGCAATTTAAATTTTTTATTTTATTATTTATTTAATATTATTTTTATTATTAAAATAATTTATTTTATTTTTATTATATAATTTTTATCAAATTAGTATTTATTTATTATTTAATCATTTAATTATTATTTATTTATTATTTTTTTATCAAATTAGTATTTATTTATTATTTAATTATTTAATTATTATTTAATTATTATTTATTTATTATTTATTTAATATTAATTTTTATTATTTTTATTTTTTATAAATTTCTTTTATTATATTTAATATTATTAATAATTAAATTTATTTAATTTAATTATTTATTATTTAATTATTTAATTTATTATATTCTTATTAGATGAATTTAAAATTATATGACTTTTATATATAATATATAATTTGGATATATAATTTTTATATATGATTTATACATGTAATTTTATATATAATTTATTAATTATTAATAATTATATGATATTATTAGAAATTTTATATAAAACTTTTATATCAAAAAGCTCTTATTCTTGATAATAAAAATTATTAATTAAATAAATAATCAATTAATTAACAAGTTATAATAATTAGTCTAACTAATAATTTAATAAAATTACTTTGAAAATATACTACTTTTGAAAATATATAATTTTTGATATTTTTATCATTTTAAATAAAATAACTATTATTATAATTTTAATTTTTATATATTTTATTTAGTAAAATAAGAAAACAAAATTATTTTATATGCATTAATATTATTTTGATAATATGATATAAATTATATTTAATAAATATTTTTATTGTAGTATTATTTGTTAGCTAATAATTCATGTTTGACTATCTTGATATAATATTTTTATAATTTCATTATGTAAAAACTCACTTATAACAATGTCAAAGATAAAAAAACTTGTACTTAAATTCCAAATTTCTCAAATAATAATCTATAATATCATCAAATATTATTATAAAACTAATTTTTCACATCCTAAAAAATGTTTTGATTAATCAAAAGTACTAATCAATTATATCACAGCAAGTTATATTGGAAAACTAGTTTTTTCAATTGGTAAACTTACAAATAAACTAAATAACAAACTTAATACTATTCACTATTATAATATCATCTGTAAATATATATAAAATAGTATTTGAAAGTTATATTTCAAGAAAAAAATCTCTTCTAATCCCAAAACAAAAAATTCATCAATTAAATTAGTGCTGGAAAAAATATAAGTAAAGTGAGTAATAGAAAATTATTATATAATCTAACAAGTCCAGATTTGCACTTTTTAAATTTGATGATTAAGAAAGAGTATAGTGAAAATCTGGTGAAACTTATAATTAAAAATATATTAAATCTACTATTAAGTTTGATAATAGATTTGTAATATTTTGGAATTGTTTTGATTGAAATAAAGTTAATTCTTTGATGTTAATAGAAAAAAATCATGAATTTGAATGTCTATATTAATATTTTTGTTAATTATTTTGTATATTGAATTCGTCAATATTTTAGCAAGATGGAGCATCATGTTATATTTTAATATATATAACTTGATGATTATCAACACATAATATTCAACTTTAAGATTGAGTTGATCAAAGTTTTGATCTTAATTCGATTAAACATTTTTGAAATATTTTGAATCGCTAAATTCGAAAAAGAATATCTTTGCTTATATCAAAACAAGAATTAATTAGTGCATTATAAGAGGAATGGATGAATATTGATCTAGAAATCTTATATAATTTGATTTTAAGTCTATCTAATCATGTAAACAAGATTATTAAAGCCAAAGGAAAAAACATGTCATATTAATTTGTAGGTTTTTAAATTTGAACCAATATAACTATATGTACAATATTTTATTTATATATATAAAAATTTCTTTAAATATAAGTTAAAAATTTAAATCTTTTAAATAATCGACATTAAGCAAAAAAAATTTATTGTAGGTGTGTGTACATAACAGGACTTTCGGCTAATACCTATCCACGACAAAAAAAGTTTCGGTCACGTGATGATCCCACCAATAAGAATGCGCAAAAATTCTGCGCAACCAATAGGAACGTAATCAAAACAAATTCGACACAAGAAAATAAAAGACAAAAAATGCGAAAAATACAAAAAACAAATATCTAAATCTAGCTTGGCACACTATAAAAAAAATGTCGGAAAGACAATTTTATATATAAGCTTGATCTCAGCTCTAATTCTAATCCTAACACTTGATATCTAATATTAATCGGATATTTTAATGGACTATTTCAGATCACGTGACCGAAATTTTTTTGCCGTGGCGAGGGTATTAGCTTTCGGCACAAAATGCTAAGATATTCTGACTATTTGGTTGTGCACAGAATGTCAAGATGTCGTATGCCGGTCCTTAGTCAAATGTTGGTTGAGACAGACTTTGTTTAATGGCGATCAATACACTTGACCCTGTGCAACTACACGACATGTATGTACCCTGTCAACAAGGAAACTACAACACACTTGAACACTTGTTCTGATGCATTTTTACATGGCAGGTTATTCAGATCGCAATCGCTCACAGCATGTGGAGGATTTGAACGAGAATGCCGTGAAAAAAGTTGATTTTAGGAGAGGGGCTTCTTTCAAACAACCATTGGATGAGTCAACTTTTTGAAAATGAAGATTATCGTGGAGTTTATACGCTTCACATGTTTTAAAAAATCATTTATTTATGCTGAGAAGATACAAATGCATTTATATGATCCTGTCATATGTTCTATATATTATTATTTTTCTATCTTTTTCTATGTATATATTATTCTAATATTTTTAACCGGAAAACGCGGACAAGCAATTAAAAAAAGATGATTATTATATCTCCTTGACCAACCTCTCTGGAGGCAGACCTTGATATGCAATACGATAGATGGCCGTGAATAATTTGTATCTTATTTGGTGTCAAAAAGTTTATTATTAGTGAAATGGATTATCAATTCTTTAATAATAATAAAAGATAATTACTCGTTTTCAAGTCCTTTTCTTCTTAACACGGAATTGATTTCTCGGGCAGTGAGTGTCCCTTGCAGCTTCTGTCCTGCTAATAGCTCTTTTTCCAATTGCTCAAAAGGCTGTTGTCGATAAAGATAACATAACATTATTATCAAGAAGTAAACAATTTAACATCAATCTAAACATATAATAATCATTATACCTTCTGTGTGGTAACAAATGCTTCCGCTACTCTTCTGTTTCTTCCACCATAACTGCTAGTGATAACATCAGCAATACCACAACTTTCAAAAAATGTCTCATCCTTTACCCCCGCATAAAATGTCTGCGCAAATTTTTTCATCTCCAATAGTCCGATTCGAATGACGGCCGCCTTTGCATTTTCACCCAACTTTAGACCATCAATAATACCAGCCGCAATAGCAATTACATTCTTTAACGCGCCACAGAGTTCCACGCCAATGACATCCTCGATAATCCCCACGCGAAAATATGGTGTCTCAAGTAGATGTTTGAAAAGCTCTCCTTCTTCGCGAATATGGTATCCGACCGTGGTCTCTGAGAAATTTTCCTTGGCGATTTCATTGGCAATATTCGCCCCACTTAGTGACGACACACTGATATTTAGGTTCTCAGAGATTATTTGTGTTATTGGGTGAAGTCCTGTTTCGTCCACATCGACACCTTTGACGAGGGAGATCGCCTTGGCATTCGGGAGAATTCGCCCTTTAAGTTGATTGCAAACTCCTTTTACAAACTGATATATTTTCCGATAATAATGAATAAAAATACGGGAGTGACCTCACAATGATTATTATCACTAATAATTAGTTACCTGATGTGGAATAACAAACACCAATACTGTAGCATCATGTGCAGCTTCCAATAAATCCGGAACTGCTTTTAAATTGCTCGACAATTTAAAACCGGGAAGATACTTAGTATTTTCATGCGTCTCGTTGATTATATCGGTCAATTTTTGCCCGTTGATGATTTCTTCAAACACCCACATCTTTACTTCATGATCGAATCCCGGATGCAATTGTACATTTTTTCCGATGATATTTGCGATAACCGACCCCCTGTATTAACAATTATTATTTCCTTTCTAGAAAGAATATCGATGATTGAGGAATATTTATTACATACCAATTACCAGAGCCTATCAATGCTACTTTTTCTAGCCCCATGGATACTTATTTAGTTTTTTGTGGTTGATGACAAATTTTTTGTAATAACGAAATGTTCGAAGAATTTTTGACTGGTGACGATGAAGGTAACGATCGTAATGATCTTGATAATAAAATCGTGGTTTTTGATGATAAATGAATCAGATGTGTTATATTTAATATTACACAGCAAACTTTTCAGTTTATTGATTTTATTTAATAAATTCTAAGTGGGAGGAAAAGTTGACGCATTTATACTGCTTTTGAAACTATATATGCAGTCATCGTCTTTCACATTAATACAAAATGTCATCATAATTACAATCGGGGGAAAAAGGGAGTGGATGAAATTTACGACAAATCAATTTCTTTTTTTAACAATAGTTTTTTCGGACTTTTAATTGAGTGAGTAAAGTAGAATTTTGTAGTCTCCGCATAAAATATGCAATCTGCGCAGAATATGAACAAACACACAGTAATTGATTTATAAGGCAACTGGCAATATTAAAAAAAAACGAAGTTAGATCTGATCTTTTTTTACTCCAACATGCATTTATTGGTCACGGCCGACCCACGAAATTAATTGGTGAACAAATGTTTGTTGAAAATGATATCATTATTGCATGTATGACGTCGAGCGCTTCGATCTATCATTTATAATTATATTTTAATTCCATGTGAAGTTACTCTTATCGTTATATTGTTTTATTATAAAAGGTAACTAAAAACTATTCTTGTTTTCTATTAATATCAGTGTCAAACACACAATTTCTCTCCCAAAAATCTAAGAATCTCTGCAGCTCCATCTGACTCGGCCTCAACGCTATCCAAAGCATGTCCTGTTTCGGGATACATCTTGCATCGAATGTCAATCTTTTCACCATTATTTTGACTTCTCCCTTTCAAGTAATACCACCAATTTAGCCCATCAATATGTGGAACACGATGATCTTGTTCTCCGAGGGTTAACAACGTGGGTGTCTTGACGCGATCAATATTTTTCACAGGGGAATGGGAGAACATTTGTGTGTATGTGCTTGGGAGGACAAGTGATGGTTGGGCAAATGTGTAGGGGATTGATAGTTCGGCAAAACACCTTTTTGAGGGATTTAATTTTGGAACTGTTAGTGATATGATAGATGAAATTTATATTTTTTTTATTACGCTTACCAGTCAGGAATATCAGTAAGAGAAGCCATTCCTAAGGTAATAAAAAGATATAGAATTCCATTATTAATAACGGAATTATCTTTGATCTTATCATCGTCATGATTATTACTCTCACCTCCAATATTCAAAACTGGATTTCGTAAAACACATGCTCTATAAAAATCCTATAAATAAATAACTCAGATTTTATAAAATAAATATAAAAAGAGAAAGAATGTATAATTGTAGAGAAACACTTGCTGGATATTTTCCGATCAAATGGGCCGAAATGAATCCACCATGACTCCCACCCATGATCACCACTCGATTTGGATCCGCTTGATTGTTATCAATCAAATATTTAGCTGTGGACTGAGAATGTTATCAGTTAAGTTAATACAAATCACTCGCCTATCATACTAAACACACAACGCAACAAAACCAAAATACCTGAACTTCTTCAACTTCAAGTTCACCGATTTGTCCAACTAATGATTCGATAGAATTTTGTCCAAATCCTACGCTTCCAGTATAATTAACTATAAATAAATTTATTCCAGAATGTAAAATAAATAAATAAATAAATGAGATTCATAATTTAACTAAAAAAAAATAACGAGAACCATAAGAAGAGCCAACCTTCAACAATTTGAAACCCGATGGACACTAAAGTGGTCACAAGGAGATGAAGTCCTGTAGTGACTGAAGTATGTGGACCACCATGTGGATACACAATTAATGGAGGCAATTTGGATTGTTTGTTGGTTTCCGAGGTATTATTATTGTTGTTATCATCATTTGTAGTGGTAGTTGTTGTAGTGATAGGTTTAATATGTATCATTTCGAGGTTGAGATTATCTTGATAAGGCGTCACTACAGACCATGAAATGTTTGATAGGATAGGAGCAACTTTTACAATGATGAAAATCAGTTTTTTTTCTTGATTAGTTCATAATAATTAGTTCCTTAATTAAAATAAAGATGTATTTTCATCACTAACCTTCTTCGTCATTTGGTTTATCAATTGGTGTCCATGAGATATCGAAGTCTTTGGTAATGGGGTTAAATCCATTCACAATTCCAAGTATCTTTTTTTAAATATATCGTTAAATAAATAATTGTCGTGCGGATCAATCGATCGACAAAAAAAAATAAATCCATGTAAAAAAAAATAACTTACAAGTGTATCCACTTGATTAGGAGCACTTTCAGTCATCACTATGAACTTATCCCAAACAGCAAATAAATCATAACTCTTGTAATTAAGAGTTTCACTGGCTGCATATGATGACGAAAGATCCAACACATCTCCGTTTAACAAATTCACCGCAAGAACTAATTTCCAACTTCGCCAATGACTATGCACTAACAAGTATTCGGTGTTTTCAATCGAAATGAATGAGGACCGGCGCGGTAATTGATCAATGTAGAGTCCAGGAAATTCGATTGGATATGACGGTGATGATGATGAATGCGGTTTACTTGGATCATGTATTATCGGCACAACGATACGATGTGTCCCGGTTTTAAAATCATACTATTTAATTTTTATGTGTTAAATATTGTTCAATAATTTTCATCATATATAAAACAAATGTAAATAACTTACCGAACGAAGTTCTGAACATGACCAGTGAGGTCCTCCTGCTTTATTACTTAAAAACACCTTTTGATTATTGTGCACTTAAATTACTATCTTAATTTAACAAAAATCCACAACAACAATAACAACACAAAAAATAGAATTGATACCAATAAATCCCCCGTGAGGTTCAGTCTTGGAGATCGTGCGTGTTCAATACCAACACTTAAATGTCCTAAATATACATTATATTTTTATATATGTGTAAATAGTCTCGCATGAATGTAATTGAATGAGGCAAAAGAAGATACACTTGCCTAATTTAGATCCATCCAATTGACATTGATAAATTCCCGTCCTTTTTTACAATCGATTATTAATAAATAGGCGAATTTAAAAAAATTCACCAATGAAACCTACGATCGATTATTGCACACTCGAATCCCAAAACGACGTGGATCTACAACGTATCCCATAAAAATAAGGGATTTATCGTTCGGCCCAAATAATACCTATTATTATTGAATTATTTTTAATTAACATTTAAATAATAATATAATAATTTTTGTCTTTGATATACATGCCTGACCAGGTACAACACCTTCAAAAGCTGGTAAAACCTTTACGACACCGCTACCACTCTCTCCATCATTACTTTGTGGTGATGATGATGACGCTATATCAACAATAACTATAGCCGAGTGACGTTTATTGGATAATTGTTCCCCCCAATCATCAATAAAATCAAATTTCTATAATGGGATCAATATTTTTTTTCTTAAAATAAATAAAATAATATATTTTTTTTTCATACTTGACTAATATCTTCTGAGGCTTTACGTTCAGCAATATACGCAATCTGAGATTCGTTTCGAGACCACTCTAAGCTTCCTATTTGGGCTATTAAGTCGAGTATATCAATCAAAAGAGTCTAATTACTAAGAAAAATGACAGATTACGAATAGAATAAAACAAATACAATCTCCATAAAAATCGCCATGATCATCGGTGACATCTAATACATGCAAGAGAGTCCCTTTTCGCCGGATCTAATCAATACAGAAATTTTGATCAAAATTTTCAATCTGCCTATCATATAAATGATTTAAAATGAAATATGCAAATACTTCAACGAATTTCTTTTTCCCCTTTTCTTTGTTATTCTCTACAACTCGCAATACAGCCAAATACTCTCCAGAAGGTGATATCGCCTGCTTTATCAGGCCATCATCGAGGTCAATAACAGGTGAAGCTGAGAAAGATAAAGAGCCGGATATATTTTCATTGTCTTTAATTTTGGCATTTACAGAAACAACCAGTGATTTTAAACATTTTCGTTTAGTTTTACGAGTAAGATCTCGTTGCGAAAGTTGTACTTGTAAATTCAATAGAGTCAAAAAAGCTGTTTTTTGTGGAAGAATTGTCACTTCTGTATAAGTGGGAAGTAAAGCAAATGACTTGTACGTTTTAAAAGCGGGGTTATCTTTTTCGTAACTCATAATGCAAGTTTATTTTTCGCAAAGATAAGATGGAAAATCAATTGATCTCGTGAAACTAAAATTCGCAAATGTCTCCTTCACATAAATACATAATAACGGATTTCACACTTTCTACAACCTCTTCAGTTTCATTATGTTCACTATTTACATTAAGTTTTGTTGGAGGTCTATACGTTTTTAAAGATGCGCGTATAAATAGTCGAAATAGAGTTACAAATGATCACCACCGGGTTATTACCCAACGCATAAAAGCCGTTACTACTACTTGTCTCTTATCGTTTTTAGCAGTATGGCTAGTTTTTCGTTGGGAAGGAGCATTCGTGTCTGATGTAAGTTATATTATACTTTCGAGAAGAGCTTTAACTTGGCTATGAATTTCAAGTCGGCGCGTTTTACCTAAATAAATAATGCATTATATATTTTTGATGAATTCTAGTTGTCGATTCTACGACAGCTTTCAACAATACTAAACTTGATAGGTTTCACTCTTCCCAACAACCAAATTTTATTTAACCAAACAACACTACCCCTGTTCCTCACATGCATACTCTTCTTTGGACCATTATTGATTATGTGGTTTGGTCAGGATTTACCATTTCAAACGCACTTCAATTGGCATCGAGATGTAGTAGTGTTGTTGAAGAGTTTAATTGGATTTAGGAATTATATATTCGTGAGTATATTAATTTAGCGTTAGCGCGTGTATAAAATACCATTTATATTCATCAAATTTGGTTAACTATTTGATAGGCACCATTCACGGAGGAACTTGTGTTTAGATGTTGTATGGTGCCGTTACTTGCGTATGCTAAATTTTCAAAAGGATGTATCATTTTTTTGTCTCCCCTGTTTTTTGGGATTGGTATATATAATATTATATTATCGTTATGATGATTATTATCTGTATTTTGTAATCCTTCCGGTTAAATCCATATTTTTTTAATAGACATTATTATATGAATGCATATGATATAGCGCATATACACCACGCGTGGGAATTCTATGTGAATAATGGAAGAAGCTCACGATCTGCTAAGATCGCTATTCTACAATCTTGTGAATATTATACGTTTTTTATACATTTATTGTGTCTGCATCAGATTTATTGAATAATAATAATAATAATTTCTCTATTAGTATTCCAGTTCACATATACGACCCTTTATGGATGGTACGCGACCTTTCTTTTTCTTCGAACAGGTAACAATCTTTTATGAAATTAATGAAGATTCTATTTGATAATGTATAATAATAATAATAATAATAATAATCCTTTTTTGTCCTCCGATAGGCAGCATCCTTTCTCTTTTTCTTTGCCACTCGTTTTGCAATATGATGGGCTTCCCCAGACTCGATTTGGGTGATATGAGTGTTGGAAGACGATATAGTGAGTTATATTACTGTTATTCTGAGAATTCAGTAAAATAACATTTAACGCTACCTCACGGAAAAAAATATGAACTAACAAAAATCATTTAGCGATCTACGCGGCATTTCTGATCGGGATTTTTGGATTTTACTTTTTTTTCTGGAATCTTACCGAGCCAAGTTACTTTGATGCGACGATTTACGAGGGCTATTGGAACTTTACCGAGCAGAATGAATAATAAATATATCGGGACAAAACATATAGAAGAAATCCTCTTTAAAAAACTTGATCGAAATTAGAGTCTAACACTGAGCTAGTCGACTCGGAGGTTTACTGTGTTATTTATTAATTTTTGAAAATAAATATTTATCAAGAAAGTAAAATAAATCACCTAGATACTATTATTTAACGTCTGCTGCATTCATTCAAATTCACACGCTAACTTGGAATTACACTGTGGTGTGACTCGCTGTTAGCAATAAAGACATTCTTCTAAAACAATTACACCAGTAGATGCACAATTTTTGAATTATCTAAATTGAGAACTTGAGCGAATAATGCCGTATCAATGAAAAACTCGCGTGCGAACATCGGATTCCAACTAATTACCATAGTCCGAATTTTAAAATGATTAATATCGGCGATAAACTCGCTGCGTCTTCATGCCATGTATGATAAAGTGCTTGCTTTTGAAATAGCGAGACCAATCGGGTTGTGGTGATAAATTTGGATCGATTGCATCAACCAGTGACCATCATATGACTTCATATGACCAAAAAGCATAATCCTTGTATCACACAATCCATCCGATTAATTGCATGAGTATGGAGTATCAAGTAATTTTACGCGCGTGTACTTTTATTAGGAATAGAACAAGTTTTTGGGGGAAATAATTTAATATTGTAGTTTCCATAACAAGTTCACATGAAAACCCCCAATGATAATCGTTTACTTTTCGAGATAATTATGGTGGGATTTTAAAGTTTAGCGGTCGCTAGAGTCTATACTCGCAGTAATAGCTCTTCAATTATCCTTCTCTTATATATAGCTAGCTGCCTGAATATAACACAGTGCTTTATTTCTTTTTCCGTAATATCTGTAATATTTGCGTATTTAATAAAGTTTTGAACTTGTTACCACTTCAAATTATCCATAACAATGTCCGCGAAAGCAATAAGAGAATATGACGGAAAGTTATTACTTGCCTACTGGTTGCTTCGCTCTCCCTCATTATCCAAAGAGGAAACCGCGCCTGCCTCAAAATTTGTCCCGCCCAGTAAAGTAGCCCATGTTGCTTTTGACACTTTCACTCTCCATGATAAAACTATTTCCAATCCACCTGTCGCGTTTAGTAATCAAGTGCAGCATACCTTGAATGTTCTCGAACAAACACATCCTTGGTTATTAACCGAAAAATTGGTGGTTAAACCCGATCAATTGATTAAACGAAGAGGAAAATCCGGACTCTTGCTGTTGAATGCTGATTGGCCTCAAGTTCGTGAATGGATCATTGAAAGAGCTGGAAAAGAGACAAAAGTAAATTTCGAAATTATTCTTTCATAGCTTCTGTCATAGTTTCGATTTGCTTATTCTCGACTAATTGATAGGTTGATTCGATAACTGGCGTGTTAAAAACGTTTCTTGTCGAACCTTTTGTCCCACATCCTCAACATACCGAATATTATATTAATATAAATTCTGTACGTGATGGAGATTATCTCCTATTTACCCATGAAGGTGGTATTGAAGTTGGTGATGTTGATGCCAAAGCATTAAAACTTTTGATTCCGGTAAACGAGAGTTTTCCTTCGGCTGATAAACTGAAAGAAAAATTGCTAGCTAATGTACCGGAGAGCAAAAAAGACGTCCTTGTTAATTTTATTTCGAGGCTGTATGCCGTTTATGTAGATTTACATTTTACCTATCTTGAAATCAATCCTTTGGTCGTGCTTGATCCTACTTCTGATGATGAGCCGCCCAAAGTCTATTATCTCGATTTGGCCGCAAAAATTGATCAAACAGCTGAATCCGAAGCCGGACCAAAATGGGCAATTGCACGAACACCACAAAATATTGGGATCGCCGGTCAATATGAAGCTTCGAAAACTCAGATAGATCAAGGACCTCCATTGGAATTTCCTGCTCCTTTTGGTCGTGAATCAACCAAAGAAGAAGCATATGTTCAAGAATTGGATTCAAAAACTGGCGCATCATTGAAATTAACTATTCTTAACAAAGAAGGAAGGATATGGACAATGGTAGCCGGTGGTGGAGCTTCAGTTGTATATAGGTATATATATATATATTATATATATATTAAGCTCACATTTTATACCTACTTGCAGTGACATCTAAATAGAAATTTTATTTTAATCCGTACAACTATAGTGACGCGATTGCTGCATTAGGATTTGCGCATGAGCTCGCTAACTATGGCGAATATTCAGGTGCCCCTACCGAAACACAAACTTACGAGTATGCAAAAACAATTTTAGATTTAATGACGCGTAATCCAATTCCTCATCCCGAGGGTAAAGTACTTATCATTGGTGGAGGTATCGCAAACTTCACTAATGTCGCGGTAACATTCAAAGGGTTAATCAGGGCCCTTCGAGAATACAAGAAACTTTTAATCTTGCATAAAGTTAAAATATTCGTGAGGCGCGGAGGTCCGAACTATCAAGAAGGCTTAAAAGCCATAAGACAATTGGGTGATGATTTAGGTGTAGAAATTCAAGTTTTTGGTCCTGAAACTCATATTACTGAGATCGTGCCATTAGCTTTACTGGGTCATGGATCGGGTCTCGATAGTAATGAGATTGAAAAATCGAGTTTATCAGGAAATTCTCTTCAAGACCAAATGTTGGGAACTTTTTCAAAATCTGCTAAGCCGATAAACGGACATACGGAAGATTCACCAGCACCTGTCTCTAATCCACGTGAACGTATGACTTACTTTGAAAATCATAAAACTTCAGAGAGACCTTGGTATTCAACATTTACTGATAAGACTCGCGCTTTCGTCTACGGAATGCAACCTCGTGCTGTACAAGGAATGTTGGATTTTGATTATATATGTAAACGAAAAGTTCCATCAGTTGCTGCAATGATTTATCCATTCGGTGGAAATCACGTTCAAAAATTCTACTGGGGGGCAAAAGAAACTCTTCTTCCTGTCTTCAATAATCTCTCTGATGCTATTGCTAAACACCCTGAAGCAGACACCGTCGTGAATTTCGCTTCATCACGATCAGTGTATGAATCTACTTTTGAATTCCTCGAATACTCCAATCAAATTAAGACAATCGCAATAATTGCCGAAGGTGTTCCAGAAAGACGCGCTCGACAAATTCTTCACGAAGCTAAAAAAAGGAATGTTTTAATTATTGGTCCGGCTACGGTGGGTGGTATCAAACCTGGATGCTTTAAAGTTGGCAATACTGGTGGAATGATGGATAATATAGTCTCTTCTAAATTATATCGACCAGGTTCCATAGCTTATGTATCAAAATCTGGTGGTATGTCTAATGAGTTAAATAATATTATCTCTAGAACTACTGATGGTGTTTACGAAGGTGTTGCGATTGGAGGTGATCGCTATCCTGGGTCAACATTTATTGATCATTTATTACGTTTTGAAAGTGATCCGAATTGTAAGATTTTATTATTACTCGGAGAAGTGGGAGGTGTGGAAGAATATCGAGTATGCGAGGCAATCAAAGATGGTCGTATAAAGAAACCATTGATTGCTTGGTGTATCGGAACCTGCGCCAAAATGTTCACCACTGAAGTACAATTCGGGCACGCTGGAGCTTTAGCACAATCTGATCTTGAGACTGCCGACGCGAAAAATTCAGCAATTAGAGCCGCGGGTGGAATTGTTCCAGAAACTTTTGAAAAATTGCCTCTTGCTTTGAGTGAACTTTATCGAAAACTTGTTTCGGAGGGTACTATAATACCTATACCAGAACCGGAGACTCCAAAGATTCCTATTGATTATGCTTGGGCTCAGGAACTTGGCTTAGTACGAAAACCAGCAAGTTTTGTATCAACTATTTGCGATGACCGTGGACAAGAGCTATTATATGCAGGAATGAGAATTTCAGATGTATTCAAAGAAGAGATTGGTATAGGCGGTGTATTGAGCTTACTTTGGTTTAAGAGACGACTACCTGATTACGCTTGTCGCTTTATTGAAATGATTTTGATGTTGACTGCTGACCATGGTCCCGCAGTATCAGGGTAAATAAGATATTTTATCTATTTATATTATATGGTTTAATTTTAATCAGTTATATTTCAAATTTAATAGTGCACACAATACAATTGTCACTGCTCGTGCTGGAAAGGATCTTATATCAAGTTTATGTTCGGGTCTATTGACTATTGTAAGTATGAGGAAACTTTCTTGTGAATTTAACCACAATTTCACTAACTGACTTGACATTTCTTTGATAGGGTGATCGATTTGGAGGTGCACTTGACGGTGCTGCCGAATTATTTACCGGTGCTTATGATAAGAGCTTAACTCCACGGGAATTTGTGACTTCGATGAGGAGACAAAATAAATTGTAAGTTTTGTTAATTAATAACCTTAGATCCTACATACAGTGAATAATTTCATCATTTCATTATTAGAATCCTTGGAATTGGTCATAAAATTAAATCACGCAATAATCCTGATCTACGTGTAGAAATCATCAAAGATTTCGCCAAAAAACATTTTCCAGCAACCAAACTACTCGATTATGCACTCGCCGTTGAAGACCTCACCACGCAAAAGAAAGATTCTTTAATATTAAATTTGGATGGTGCTATCGCCGTATGCTTTGTTGATTTACTACGTGAATCTGTTGCGTTCAGTCGCGAAGAAGCAGAAGAATACATAAAAATTGGCGCATTAAATGGATTATTTGTCTTAGGACGAAGCATTGGGTTTATTGGTAGCTTTTTTTCTTTTGTTTTGTTGTTGGATGATTTGTTTTTTTACAACGCGTTCGAAATTAATTGATTATACAACCACTGCACAAACAGGTCATTATCTTGATCAAAAACGACTCAAACAAGGCCTTTATCGACATCCTTGGGATGATATTTCTTATTTGGTACCCGGCATTGAAACTAGTCGTACATTTGTTAGTCAGGATCAAGTCACCCAAAAAGAAGCATAGAATGACTTTTACACGGGATTTTTTATTTATAGTCTTAAATAGAATGCCATAAAACGATAACGATGATAGTTAAATCCAAATTAGAATTTTTTGCATGATAATAAATTTTTCATAATTCTGGGTGTAATTCCACCTATGAAAATATTCGATAGGAATGAAATATGCAAAAGATGACGATTTTCGCAAAACTCGTTTTAGTGAAGATGCTTGGGTTATTAGTAATGAATTCACTATATCGAGAATTTATTAATAAATTACATGTAATAACGATAATACGTTGGGATCAAGAAAATAAGTAAATCTATAAAGAATGTGAATAAAGTAATGTTATTAATTAGTATACACTTTTAGTAACATAATTATTAACAATAAATAAGCTTAATCAGAATGTCGAGGAAATAAATATCAAAAAAACATTAAAAATTTGAATTTGATCATTTTACTAAGTATATTCTATTTAATAGCCAGTATCTGGCCCCTACCGAACAAGAAGATTTTCAGGCGTAGGTTAATGAACAAGAAGATTTTCACCAACCAGTATCTGGCTCTTACTAAGTAAATGTTCAATAATCAAATTCATATATCTCATCATTTAACTTATTAATATGTATACAAGTAAAAGTAGTACTCAACTCTAAATTTTTTTCACTTGAAATTTTTTAAAAGTATTTCTCTTAGGCGACAGTGCGAAGAACGAGAAAAAACGAACAATCAGAACAAATCATGCACGCGGAATTTCCATGACCTTCGGATTTCTTCCATAATATTAATTTAGATAATTTACTTTTCTCGATAATAGTTGGTAAGGTGCGAGAGAAGGCTTGAAAGTCAAGGGTCTCGTGAATATCGACCTTCAAATTCAAATTCTAACCACGTGACAAAAGATCAAATCATGTGACCCAATTTTGATATATAACGTCAATATTTTTTTACTAATAATAATAATAATAATAGTAGTAATGCAACGGCCTCAAAAAAAACTTTCAGGTTTTGATTTTTATCACCAAATTCTTAAAAGTGCCAAATACATCGTGGCACCAATGGTAGACCAAAGTGAGCAAGCTTGGCGTGTATTGTCGCGTCGATATGGAGCACAACTTTGTTTCACGCCAATGATACACGCGAAAATGTTTTGTGATGAACGTAATTTGCGGTATAGGCAGGAAGTGTGGTCTACCGGTGAAGGGGATAGACCGTTAATAGTGCAGGTTTGAACTTATAAATATTATTGGAAAAATTGTGTATAGACATCGTTTCAATTTGGATTATTTTCTTTTTAATAGTTTTGTGCTAATGAACCAGAAGCTTTACTTGAGGCTGCTAAACGCGTTCAAGATCATTGTGATGCTATCGATTTGAATTTGGGGTGTCCGCAGCATATTGCAAGACGTGGTCGATATGGCGCGTTTTTACAAGATGAATGGGAATTAATCCATAAATTAAGTGAGTTAATCATTCTTAATCATAGCTGTAATGATATTCAATTATTTATATTATTATTGTTATGATAATTAGTAAATATTCTTCACCAGAACCTCTCAATACCAGTCACCGCCAAAATACGTATTTTCCCGAATCCAGACAAAACAATTGAATATGCTCGAATGATTGAACGTGCTGGCGCGCAAATGCTTACAGTGCACGGTCGTATACGAGATCAAAAAGGACACAATACGGGGTTGGCAGATTGGGAACAGATTCGTTGTGTGAAGTACGTTTACGAGGTTGTGGTAAATTTGTGAATTTAATTTAATTTTATGATATCTTTTATCATTATTATTATTAATATGAATATAAATATTGGGTTTTATTTTGATCTTTAGGGAAGCAGTTAATATCCCGGTAATCGCCAACGGTAATATCCTTTATTTTGAAGATATACAACGCTGTCTGGAAGCTACAGGAGCCGACGGTGTAATGTCAGCCGAAGGAAACTTATACAACCCGGCTCTGTTCGCAAATCACAATCTGCCGATATGGACAATGGCACAGGAATATCTAGATATATGTCAGACAATCACTACGAAAAACGCCTATATTCGTGGTCACTTGTTCAAGATTTTGAGACCAGCGCTTCCATTTCATGCCGATTTGCGCGAACGATTGGCAAATGCGAATTATTTACAAGAGTTTTGTGGACTAGTCGACGAGTTGAAGAAGCGAATCGTACAAATAGAGGTATTTGATTGTTTGTTACTATTAATTGCTTGTATTATCGATAATCAAATTGTTAATCGAAAAATCTTTTTGAAGCAAATTGATGATTCTCAATTAGAGCACGGAACGCAATTAGTATCAGTTCCAGTAGACGAGAATGGAATCAAGCAGTATCCGTATTGGATATGTCAACCAAATGTACGATCGATTGTTAATTTCAATCCTCCTGTTAGCAATATTTTGTCGACGAGAGAAGATACGTCAAACAATGATAATGATCACTCAGAAGACACGATAGATTTTTCAAATAACTTTCTAGGCTGAAGATTTTTCAAATAGCTTTTTAGACTGAATAATAAATAAACCTATTTATTTTGTCCGAGACGAGAAAAAAAAAGATACTTTCATTTTCAACCTCATCACAAATATTTCAATTCTACGTGCATTTCTGTATTCAAGCCCAATCGATTAATAAAAAATAACTAAGCCTATACACCTCCGTAAGCTATATATATATTTTACATCGACCAACATTTACAACATAATGTTTAAGCAGTCGTAGCCTTTGCTTTTGTCTTTCTTATCTTTTTCTTGTCTTTTTCTTTTTTCCTATCCTTCCGGTCCTTCTTTTTCATCGAGTCCATATGAACCTTGAATATATTATTGTACTCTATATGAAATTTATCTGAATCTGATGACTGAATCTTAAATGAATTAAACGAGATTAAATAAATAATCAAAACAAAAAAAAAAACTATTTATATCAAAAAATAAATAATACTTGCTAGAGTACTAATCTTTATCTTTCCACATGTAGCACGCATTATACAAGGATAAAGCGTGGTTAACGATGTGGCGGTGGTAGTTTCTGTTTTCATAATAATGTCACCTTGAATGTCTTTTTTATCATCTTTATTTTTTGATGATGTCTTTTTGGATTTATTGGTTTCTTCTTTTTTTATTCGTGGCTCATAAGAGTCTTAAATACATGCTATAATCAATATCTGATATCAAATCAATCTCGTTATTCTTCTTTCGAGATAAACTTACATCTTTTCGTGGTAACATAAACTTTCTTTCCTGAAACTTTTGTCTTTTCAAAAAGTCGAGTTAATTGGGTTAGAAACTATTAGGATATGAATAATTGCCGGTTATAAGTACATTTATTACGTGGAAAACCGAAAATAAAAAAATACATGAAATATATACAGAATTATTATCCAAGAGCGTCATTTTCTCGAAAGAGAATTTGCGAGTTAGTCCCCCAGATTATTTGTTAATCTTTCGAGTCACATGGCAAAGTGCGATTGTCCCCAAATCAGCTCGAGAAAAGTGTACCTTTATACGAAGTTTAAATTCGAGATGCCTTTAACAACCGAAGACGTAATAAGCCAGTTTAAACGTCGTGGTGCGTTTGACGATATGCGTAAAAAGTTGCTCGACAACTTTATTGAAAATGTAAGAAACCGAACGATTTACTGCCATATTGTTATGAGTATCTCATGACTTGTTAGCCTTTTTCAACTGATTCTTTCGTCTGTTTATTCTTTCGAATTAAATGCTAATAGGAACGAGGTAAACAGTTCAAAGAGACACTCACGAAAATAATGGAAACGAGTGTTACTCAGAATCCGTCGCTACTTGATAACGAAGATTCGGCACAAACTCATAATGCGCTACATGAGGCATTTGATAAGTAAGTTTTTGAAGAATGTTGTTTTCGGTTTTTGCGGCCAATTATTTCGATATTTATTAGTAATTATAATTATATAGAAGTGGCGAATATGAAAAAATGGGTGAATACATTTTAAAACAAGTGTTGGAGTCTGAAGAGTATATGTCACTATTTAAAGAGAAGATCGAGGAAATAATTCATGAAGGGGAAAAGAATGGAAAAGAAGATGGCGACAATTATGATGATAATAAAAATAGTACTGGCGTTGATCATGTTACCGGTAAAATAATACATTATACTGTTTTTTTGTAACTTTATAATTTAAAAAGATATCTCCTTTTTTAATTTTCATTAGTCAATGAAGATAAAAATACAGAAAATAAAATATCAACAGCATCAGCATCAAATATAAAATCACCACCACCACAAGGAGGAGAGGGAACAGCAGCCACGACTGTAACATTAGCAAATAACGCCAATTCGTCATCTTCCATGAGGAAACGTGATCAAGCGTTAGTAGATAGTCGAACATTGTTGATTGATTCTATTTTGAGTTTATCCAGCTCATCAACCACAATGAATACAAACAATGCTACTAATTTAAGTACTGTTACCGCTGCTTCTGCCAAGGGCACGAATAAGATTCAGCATATCACTATAAAAAGTAAAAATGTCAATAAAAATAATGATCATGATAATAATGTTAAAGATAATGATGAGGACGAGGACAAGGACAAGGATGAAGAGGACGAAGAGGAAGAATATAGAATCAATAAAAAGACTTCAAAAGTAAAGTCATACAAGTCATCGGAAGGGAACAATGATAATAGTAACAATAACAACAGTAGTGAGGATGATAGTGAAAAAGAGGACGAAGATAAACAGGATAAAAAGGATAAGGAAAAGAAGATGGAAAATAAAAAAGGAAAGGAGAAAGATACAAAAATAACAACTATTAGAATCAAATCTTCGAGTAGTAATAGTAGTAAAAATATAAACACTAAGCGAACAAGATCCTTCTCCTCTGATAATAAGGATAGCGACGAAGGCGAAGATGACAAGAATGGCGGAGACAAGAAAAGAAAGAAATCTTCCCAGAAGAATAACAATAAAAGCGTTGTTGAAGAGCAAGAAGATAGGGACGTTAAAAAGAAAAGCAGCAAGAAACGAAAACAATCTTCAGATTCAGGTGAGGATAATGATGATAAAGACGATGACGATGACGACAACAACAGTAGCAACGAAGATGGATCACAATCAGAGCTTTCTTCTTTGCATTCATTATCACAACCTTCTTCCTCATCGTCGTTGTCGTCTTCTGAAGATAATTATAATCAAAGTAAAAGTCGTGTAAAACGTACAAAGACAACTTCAACCGCTAACAAAAGTAAAAATGTTGCAACGATTCAAAGACGAAGAAATCCTCCAAGACGACAACGCAGACGTAAATAAATACTTTAATAATAGTTTTATCTAAAAGCAGACACCATTGATTTTGCCAAAGAATATAAATAGTACCGAATCCAAGAATCAAGGATTCGATTTAATAATGATTGATTCTTTTTTAATTAATTAATTTTGCACGTAGCAAATGGGAATACTTTATTCATGGAACAGAAAGTAGATTACAAAGTGTTTGGATGTATACTCATACATGAACTTGATAGAATCAAGCAAAACAATAATTCATAATGTTATAGACTCTCCTTTACATAATCTCATGATATTTTAGAGTATATTGAAGAAATATTATTTCTGAAATTGATAAAAAATATTAAGAATACCATTTTTAAGCAAACATGCTGAGATTATAAATATGATGAGAAAAGAAAGAGTATTTATTACAATGAATATGAGCAGTCTTATATAATAGTATATAAAAAAGAATGATTAAAGAGAATAAATATAAAAAATATATAAAAGAATTTAATAGTGATATACTGAATACTATATTAAAATTTAATTCAGAAAAGAAAGAGCTCATACAAGTAACATATGACAAATATTACTTTTACGCAAATGATAGATAAAGGAGAATCTGAATAAGAAAGAATCTGAATAAGAGAGAATCTAAATAAAAGAGAATGAGAATATTTTATGCTTAAAATATATAAAATACTTCATTATAGTTTCAGTATTTCTTTATTCATGTCACAAATTATTATAATTATCTGATAAATAATTACAGACAAATCTGAATATTAAATATAAGGAGACTTTTATTTTTTATTTTATACAAATAAATAAATATTAAAAATTAGAATATATAATGAACTAGATAAGATTTTTCTTATTTTTTGTTAATTTATTACTTGTAACTTTTAAATAACTTTTTAACAAGTACAGCTTATATATTGTTACCATTTTGAGCTTTTACATATGAAAGTATTTCAAAATGGCAATAGTGACTGTGTTCACGGTAATTTACTTTGAATATTTTGACTAATTGAAGTTTATGACGAATAAATGATGTTTCTTGACAAGATAAAAGGTGACGAATATAAGACTAAACTAATAACAAAACTAAACTAAAAGATAAACTTAACCAAAAACTACTTAAAATTCCAAAATAAAATGTCAAACCTGACATTAAACCAAAAGAAACTTAAATTCAACTAAAAGAATTTAAAATCAAAACTGAAAAACTTAAAACTAAAACTGGAGAACTTGATTTTTATTAATTATCAGCACTTGTATTTATACATATTTTCATGTTACAGTGGCACAGTGTGGCACAGTAATATGTAGTATAATGCAGCATATGGCACAGTAAATCTATGCTAATATTATGAAATTACTGGTTCTCTTTTAAATTACACAAAATTTAACTACATTATAATTAATAATCTTGTTCTACATTTAAGTACCAATAGTAAAAATAGAAAATAGAGACTAAACTAATATAGAAAATAATGAAATTTGCCAAGAAAATAATGTAATTAATATATTCAAATAAAGATAACAATAAGATAAATATAAAAAGATAAGTAATATGAAAAAGAAAAAAAAGAAAATAGAAAAAAATAGAAAGAAGTAGAATATTATTGAACTAAATACGTAGTTCAAATATCATTATGACTAATTTTTATCATAACTGCGTCTTTTGTTCACGTATTCTTATATTAAATTATTGTTGATATTGAATCAGTGACAAAGTCCTTGACTTTAAGAGATTTGCTCCACAAATCAATTATTATTGATTATAATGATTGATTCCAATTTATTGAATTTGATATATGACTTTAGATGATCACCATTATAAGGATTTTTTAATACTTTTTCATCCAATGTGCAAAATTTGTATATGTCTTTATCGAAAATATTATGAATGTCAAAGAGATCTTTTCATTTTTTGCCAAATTTTTCGTGATATCAATTTTGAATTTTTATTTTTTTCATCAAAACTTTTTGTTCAATTTGAAATGAGATTGGTATTTTCTTTTTGTCATACTATTCTTTCTGCTTGATTTGCACTTTTTGAATATTGCTAAGTGCTGTTTCGTGTGTTATTTCCAATTTATCAATGATTTTGCATGCTCTCTTGACAATGACTTCTTTTATTAAAATTTTTTCTTCATTATCCAGATCTTTGAGTTATAATTTGAGTGGTGTGATGACTTGATGATCATAAACTAACTGAAAAGATTCAAATTTTGTTATATCTTGCTTTATTGTTCAATATGCAAACAAAACTGATGGTAGATAATGATCCCAGTCTTTCTTATAGAGTTAAATGAATTTTGATAATGAAGTGCAAAGTGTACAGTTTAGTCTTTTAATGAATTCATTGATTTGAGAGTGATAGAGTACAGATAATTGATATTTAATTTGATATTTTTTCAAAGTTCTTTGATGATTTCATTGACAAAGGTAATATCTTGATCACTTAGTAATTCATGTGAAAATTCATGTCTCATTACAATATTTTTATGAAGAAAAGGTATAATTGATTGTGCTGATACATCTTCAATTGCTCGTGCTTCTACCCATTTGGTTAAATAGTCTATAACAACTACAATATATCAATTTCTGTTGGTGATAACTGATAAGGGGCTTACGAGATTGATTCTAACTTTTTTGAATGGTTCTTTTATAGTGATTGGTGTTAAAGTATTGTTTTTATGCAGTTGTTCTTTTTGTTAACAAATATCACATGCCTTAATGTAAGCTTCAATATCACGATATATCTGGGACCAATAATAATTTCGTATTATTCTGTTGTATGTCGTTTCAATTCCAAAATATCTGGCAGTTAAGTCTGAATAATTATTAAATAATATGTTTTCTATTTCTATTGACTTAATGACTTGTAGTAGATGCTCAACATCTGATTTGTTTCACTTGAATAATTGATGAAATATCATTTTGATTCTGCCAGCAGCCATTTTCGTTTGTCCTTTGTATAGTTATCTGGTACAGTAAGAGAATTCAAATAATTATAAATGTTAACATAGTTTTTCAAATTTATTTTATGATATTATCACTTTCTGGTGTGTGTTGTATTTAGGAGAGTGAATCAATATTCGAATGGATTCATCCAAGTTTGTGTTTTATATTAAAATTATATTCTCGTAATGTAATTATCCATTGTGCAAGTCTTTCAGATGGATTTGGTTTGCTAATTAACCAAGTTAATACTAAATGATCAGTGATGATGATAAAGAGTATTGTTGATAAAAGATAAGATCGAAAGAGTTTTACAGTTCAAATTATACCTAAATATTTCAATTCAGTTGCGCTATATTTTTGTTCTTCTGTTGATATTCTTCTGCTTGCATATTGCTACCGTTTCTAGTTCTTACGTATGAGAATATTTAGAAATGGTTAACAGCGACTGTGTTCACGGCAGATTTTAAA